ATTTTTTTATTATCGGCTAACAAATTTTTATCAAAATCATAGACGTTATGTTAAAAGTTTTGATGCAGATCAATTGAAAGGTCTAGCTGTTGGTCAATCAGCTCTACAAATTAATTGTAAACCAATGGCTGTTACGCCTGAAGGCTATTTGATCTATCCTTGTGGTTTAATTGCCAATTCACAATTCAATGGTAAATATAATTATTGTTCAATCGTTATTTATTTGGAATTTAAAATCTTACGTTTATATACATGTAATTATTTTTTAAAAAAAATTAGATACAATCAGTAATCTCTCACTTTTAAATGATGGATCATCATATAACTTTACACAAAGTGGTATAGCATGGCCATCCGATAGACAAAAATATGGTAAAACGGCTTATGATTATGGTCAAATACGGCCACCACCTGATTGGGTTGATAGATATCCTAATGGTAGTTACACAAATGATTATCCACCACCTGACCTTTCAAATGACGAACTTTTTCAAGTTTGGATGCGTACAGCTGGTTTACCTAATTTTAGAAAGCTTTACGGTAAAAATGAAAAAGAGCCATTGAAAGCTGGAGAATATGAAGTTTTAATTGATTACAGTGAGTTTTTTAAAAAGAATTTATTTATAAAAAAAGATACATTTTCGTATTGTATTATTAAATATCAAATCAAATTTAAAAAAAAAAAAAGAATTTCCTGTTACCAGATATGGTGGAACCAAGTCATTTGTAATTTCTACTGGATCATTCCTTGGTGGTAAAAATCCTTTTTTAGGATCTGCCTATATGGGAGTTGGCATGCTTTGTGTGATACTTGGATGTATTTTTACTGCTAGATATTTATATAAACCAAGGTAACATTATATTGACAATAGTAATAAAAAATAAAAATCATATTAATTAAATAATGATTTGATTTATTTTAGAAAATTGGGTGATCATACGTACTTATCATGGAATAATAAATAATCATTTGGAGGAACAATTTGTTTGTTAATGCAAGAATTATCTAATTGCTTTTTTTCTAAATTTGATAAATTGACCATTGATCTTTCTTTTTTTTTTTCAATAAAAAGAATTTATTTATTTTAGTTTGCCAAATTGGCAAAGTTTTGTAACATAGGAAATACAAGATTTTATACCAAAAATTATACAGCAAAATTATTGAATGTATATAGTTGGTATCCAATTTCAAAATAAATAAAAATCCAAAGATATGACAACTGTGAGAAGTTATTACCTTTATATAATATCATTATTAAATATTCATTTCTCATAACTATAGTAGCCAAATAAATAGAGTAAAATAATAAATAATTTAATATATAATCAAATGACAAGAATTAATTTATTTGGGTAATTCATCTGATATAGTTAATTCAATCTGTCGAGAATCTAAAAAAAATTTTATCATTAATATTAAAATTATAGATTTAAAATTAATAAAAAATGAAAATGTAAATAACCATTATTATCACCAATAATTGTCACTTTATTTGTATTCACAGGTTGGGGAAGGCTTGTAAATTTTAATAACCTGCTAGTATAAACTGCATTTGGATGAATTGTTGCAGTAATTGTTGAAAGACCAAATTTTGTTTCCATTTCATTAAATTCTATTAATGGCCAAGAATCAATAATACTGTTAATTTCACTGGCTGTTGGACGTTTGTCTGGATTAGCATCCATACATCTGAATGCTAGTTCAATATATAATTTTGGTGTGTCATTTGAGAATCCTGGTCTTACACCTTCACATATTTTTATTGCAAGGTCTAAATCATGTGCCAAATTATTAAATGGTTGTTGACCAGTTGATATTACAGACATCAGAACTCCAAAACTATATATATCTGATGCTTTTGTATATGGATTCCCTCTTAAAACTTCTGGTGCAACATATGGTAGTACTCCAAATATATCATTGTTGTTTGATGCAGATGTTTGACTAGCTGGACATGATAATCCTAAGTCTGCAATATATGAATAAATATCACTTTGAAGAATATTACCACTATGGAAATCACGATGAATGATTTCTTTTTCATGAATATTATTTAAACCTTCAATAATTTGTTCAAGGATTTTGATTTTATGAACCCATTTTAAATTTTTAAAACCTTTTGTTAAATAATCTTGAAGACTCCCATCTTTTATATACTCCATTACAATTATATATTCTTTTGTAATTGGATCTTGTGTTAACCCATAGATATGAATTAAATCTACTTTATCATGAAAATTTATATAAATTTTGAACTAAAAAACAAATAAATATTTAATTACAACAATAATCAATAATATTTTAAAAAATCTGAAACTAATACCTCATCAAGAAATTTATCAGAAATATTTCCTGAATCATGTAATTTTTTTAATGCCACAAGTAAATCTTTACTAGTTTTTTCATTATTTTCATTTATAAATTTCTTACCATTTAACCAAGTAGCTTTGTATATAATTGCAAAACCACCTTCACCTATCTTTTCAATATTTGTTAAATCATTATAAGGAATCCATTGAAGATAATTATAATTTTTATACTCAGCTGCTTTAAGTTGTGTGCTTTTAATCAACTCATCTAATGTTTCGTTGCCACTAGCCCATCCTTCAGTCAATAGCTTTGGATTGCATGATTGACACCATGCCCAATTAGTATTATATCTATTGCAAATTGGACATTCTCCATGTTCTTCTTTTCTTTCCTTTGAATATTCATCATTATTTTTGTTAATAAAAGTATCATCAGGCTGCTTATTTTCATTTAAAGCATTTTCCATTTTTAAAAAAATTTATTTGTATTTTTATAATTTGGGGCATACTGTACTGGTATGATAAAAAATGGGGGTAGAATTTTAATTTCTGAGGGCCCATGTGTACGTGTTTGTCGATCAAATAATATTTCTTTTTTTTTTATTAAAAATGTCTTCCAGAAAAAGAAAAGAAAAACAAAAGGCTGATATTGCTAGGTAGGTGTTTACCATAAGAGTGGTGGTTATTGCCACTTGTCATCACCCTAGTTTGTTAATAAATTTTTTTAATTGATGAAACTTGACTTTCTTGTACTTGTTTAATACATCTGGTACATCATCTTTACAACTACCACTTCAAGAAAAAAATGATAGGGAAAATTCTCAAGTATAGTCATATTATTTATTTCAATACATTAATATTTAGTGTTCAATTATGTTCAATATTGCAAATATTAATCTGATCTAAAAAGATAGGTAAAAGATCTTACAATACAAATGCTGGTTTATATATGTTGGTGATAAAATTGACCTCCATCCATTCCATTTGAAATATTATCTGCACAATATTATCATCTATCCATTTAGGAGAGGATTTGGTATATACTATTTACAACATTAATTAAATTTTGCTTTTTTTTGTAAATGCCATAGGAAAATGTAAGGCAGAAGAAGAGCATGTTGATGGTATTGAAAGAGGAAAAAGAAACTTTTCTACTCATTCAATGACTCTTTCTATTATTATCATCTTTGTTTATTCTATGAATTTATCATCAATTAACACTTGTTATCTTTTATCCATGCCAACTTTTTTCTGATTAGTTCATAATGACTTCCTTTCAACTAGTTTTCAGGACCCAGAAAGGACGTTAGATTTAAATTATGTTAAAAAGGCTTTTGATTATAACTACACAAATGGAGGACAGATTTTTGAAGCATTTATTTGGATGAATTGGATGACATTACTCACCATACATAACATTAATACAAGCAAGTGGTATGTGAAATTCATGACTAATTAAGGAAATTGGAAATGATATTTATGTGGTATATTTAGAGATGGGACATGAAATTTCAAATTTCATGCACATCATGCGCATTTTATGCATTGCATTTTTTTTTAAAATTGTTTTGAGAGTAAAGCATAAATATACATTTGTGGAAATTGTTGTTATAATTTAGGTATAAATAAATTGGAAGAAATTGTATTAACACTGTTGGCATTTAAATAAATAAAATATTAAGATTCACTGTGAGATGTGAATTCAATCTCACAATACTTATTAAAACAATGAAGATTGTATTAAAAATCAAATGACTGGCATTACATTAAGAAAAAATTGAAATTAATCATGTTTATTAATATTAAGCAAACTATACATTTAAACAATATATATGAATTGATTTATGAATTGCTAATTCAAATATCTTTTCTGTGAATTAGAATGTTTATAATTTTGCTGATATTTTTTGTGATGATAAATATTAATGTTCACGATTATAACCAATCCACTGTGGTGAGATTAAAAAAATTGATGCTGTATTTAAATCCGTTTTAAACAAAAAAATTCGTTGTGGCAAGGTGAGGTTTGGACTAACAACAATTTCTGTATTTTGACCAATAAAAAATTCTTCACATGTATTGGTCACGTGAATATCGTCTGAATTCTATGCACCATGCTAATACAATGTGTTACAATCAACCATATTTGTCACGCATTACTTTTTACTCAAGGATTATTTTTTTACCTTTAAAAATTTTCTTTTATTAGTAAGCATTTTAGATTTAGTATACATATATATAAATACAAAGGTAAGTTTTCAAAATCAATAATTAATATTGATAATTTTTTAATGATTTATTAATACATAATATAAAATATATTAATTTTTTTCTTCTAAAGAGATTTTTTTTTCTTTCTATTAATTAATCAGGATAATAAATATATCACGGGCATTCATTTGAGTTATAAAGTAGAATAATAATAATTATTATTAATACTATCAGCTAGCTAATAATAAGATTATTATAGGAGGAATTTGGAATGATTAATAAAAATTACCTTGGCTAACCTGGTTCATAAATATATCTTCTTTTTTTAACTATCTATATATATATATATTCATATAAAAAATAAACAACTTCTCTCAAATAATCTATTAATCTATTAAAGCATTAAAAATTATAATAAAAAATAATAATAATAGTAATAAACCATTTCGCCCACGTAAATAAATATTGCATTTTTCATCATGGACCCATTTGAAGTGAGATTAGAATTTATAAGTCATCTAAAAAGTCTTAATGCATCGCAACCTTACATCAAAAAGTGTGTAAAATATGCAATTCAAAATAAAGGATGTTATGAAGATTTATACAGATGTATATTGGAAGTTATGGACCAATCAACCATCCTACCAAGATTGAATTTACTTTATTTCATTGATGCTTTACTCGAGAGTTCAAAATCTATAAATTTCAAAGGATACATTGAACTTATTAAACAAGATTTAAATAAATTAATTCTGGATGTTACAAGTGGTCCAAATGGGATCATTAATGTTAGTAACACTAGAAGAATCTTATTGAGTTGGAAGAAAAAAAGATATTTTGACAAGAAAGTGCTGGATGAGGCAGAAAAATTATTATTGGAACAAAAAAATTGGTTTAATAAAAGAATCTTTATTAACATTAAACATAATGATAACCAAGATAATAATAGAAATGAAAATGATAACAATCCTGGAGATGGTGGCAATAATAAATATGTTGATGGTGGTATTGATGATAATCAAAACTCCAACAATAATAATAATGATGGTGGTGATAATGAAACCAATATCAATAATAATAAAGATGGTGATGATAATAATAATAGTCAAAAACAACAATTACAAATACAAGTGGATGAACTGCAAGTGCAAGAACAAAACCAAGAATTACAAGAACAACCACCACAAGGGCAAAGTCCACATCATCAAGAACCACAACAATCATTAAAACAAAATTTACAACAACAATTAAAATCTTCAACATTAATGTTAAATAATTTATCAAAGAATGACATACTTAAACGAATGGAAGATGATCGTGAAAGATCTAAACATGTTAGAGAAGAAATTTGGCAAATTGATTATTCAATTCCAGATTTTGAAGCTGAAAAGTTATGGGAATTCACATCAGATTTGGATGATGATGATTTTGAATGGATGAGAATTCAAAATAAAAAATATTTTCCTTGTTATACTTGGAAAAAAAATTTTGGATTAAAAGATTTTGAAAAACAGGATTAATAAGTTAATTGGTTGGTTCATAGTTAATGTTTATTAATTTTTTTATATAAAAAAAAAAAATTTCTAAACACATAAATAAAATTCATCTTAATATATAAATCTTTTAAAGAAAACCTCTTCCTAGGTAGGTTGGAATAGAAGAAATAATACAATAATAATCAGAGCTAGACTCAATTATTGGCTAGAACAATATTTCACCAGCAAGCTACATACATCTCAAATCATTTATTAGAATTAGTATGTAGGATTGTAAAAATTGCAAACTTTAATTGATGAATCAAAAATGTTTTTTTCTTTTAATCAACATTTTATAAAATACAAATTTGAACCTTTGGTGAATTAAAAAAAAAAAAGGAACATCTAATTAATTTATTACAAGGTGATTTTTTTGGGGGTTTCTTCAAGAAATTGAATAAATTATTATTAATAGTAAAGATAATGACAGTTAGTAATGATAGTTGATATAAATAATTTTATTAATATATAATAAATAAATATTGATTAAGTTAAATTATTATTGTTGAAATTTTCTTTATGTTTTCCTTTTTCATTTTTCTTGACTAATTTATCTGATTTATTGTTGTTGCTGCTGCTGTTATCCTCAACTATTTTATTAATTCCATCTTCAAAATCTTCTTCAGGTTCTACATCTGATTCATATGTTAAAGGTTCTGGTTGTTCTATATTGATACTTTCCCAATCATCTAATAACATATCAATAAAGTCATTAATAATAATTCCAAAAAATTAATCCATTTTTTTCACAATCATAATAATAAAACAAAGAAATTTACTAATGATTTTATCCCAAAAACATAATATTAAAACTTCATTATCTTTAATATTTAAACCTTCAATAGTTTCATAATCTATATCCAATGCTAAAGTAGGACCAGAATTATTTTGATATTTATATAATCTAATTTTTGATGGAACTTGATTTTCAGTTTCTTCCAATATTTTAATAATTTTTTTTTTAATTTTTAACAAGCTGTCTGTTGAAATTGCTGTTAAAAAAATTGTTGTTTTTTGATGTTTTATTCTTAAACATATTGCTTGATCAGAAAGCTGAAAATTAATTATAAATATTTAATAATTGATAAAAATTTTCAAAAATATATTATTGACATAATTAATTACCATTTATTTAGTAAAATAAAAAACCAGTGAATTTAAACTTGCAAAAAATTTATTTTTTTCACTAACGTTACACTGGAAGCCAAAACATTCAGCCAATAAAAAAGTGACGATAAGTTAACATACTGACTAATACTGACGTCAGCTAAACATCAAAAAAAAAATTACCGATCTTTAAATGTTATAAGGGTTTGTTTATAGTTACGCGAATTAAATTTGGCCGTTTCTTATGAAAGATCTACAGAAGACCTAATAACGTGACCGACTTATATGAAAATTAATCTGGCGATCATCATCAGACAACAACAACGATAGTGTTAATAAATTTATTTTTACTGATGATTTAAATCAAAAAAATTTATTTTGTTATATACTCTTTAGTCTACCATGTTTATCTAGCATGATGGAAGTTTGATTTTATTGGATATAAAATGTGACAAAATAAAATTTAGATTTTTACCGAAATTAGAAAT